GAGTGAGAGGGCATAGCGGTCCATGGAATGGCTAATCCCGAGGGACCATGAGACAAGAATGTATCATAGAGATCATAAATTTCAAATCTAGCGACATAGAAGGATTCAATATCTCTCTGTTAAAATGCAACTAAGGAATTTAATAACTTTGCATCATATATAAAATTAGGTATTGGCCACTTGGGCTTAGTGGTTTGGGCATAAGGGACCCAGCACTAACATACTAAAGTTAAATCCGGGTTTACCCACCCAAAAAATCATAGAAAAGAAGAAAAGGAGGAAGAATATGAAGTGTACCCTCCATTTCATACAACAAAAAAGAAGGATGCTTAAAGCCTAAACCTTAGGAATGAATACTTCATGGTTCTAAACCAAAAGCAAAAAATAAAATGCCCCCATCGCTATCAAGATTATTCGAAATTAACAACTATGCACTCAATTTTGCAAAATTGACAAACCCTGATATGACTTGAAAATTGGTTCTGTAGAACTTTTTACAAAGTGCACCTTAGTTTGGCGGTGGAAAATATCACTAGGGCATAATGGATATTTTTTCGAGTGTTTAAAAAGAGAAACTTGGGCTCGAACCACCACGGACCGGGGTCCGAGTCCCCTCGGTAAGAAGTTGGGTGAGATTGAATTAAGTAAGACTGATTTAAGTTTAAAAGGGTAACTTGAACTATTTAATATCTTACTCATATATTTTGATCTAATTTTGCTCGTCATTCTTTCAATCATATTTTAAATAGCTCGTCAAATGACACGCCATATAAGTTTTGAAATTTATCAAAATTCACCTCGACTAAAATGTTAAATAATAGGAAAGTTATCAATTTACCCTTGAGAGGTCAACAATTCAAGGCTTTACCTATGCCATTTGATTTAATTTCAAAATAATGTTTGATTTAATTTCAAAATAATGTAAAAAAATAGATGAGCTTGTGTTGAAATAGTTGTAAATGGGTAAATTGTTAATTAATTTCATATCTTATGGGAATTCTGTTAAATTCCCTTAAATAATTCAAATATTATTTATATTTTGATAAGTTTCCTGCTTAAAAATTTGAGATACATTATTTTGATATTTTATACATCTAAAACTATTCCAACTCATTATCATGTGTATTTTAATGGATATTTTGAAATAAAATCAAATAATATGGGTAAAGTGATAAATTGTCTCTCTCTCATGGATATTTTGAGAAATTGCTTTACAATTTATAAAATAAGGTTCTTCAAAAGATTTGAGGATCTTTTTCAAAATTATTTGACTTCTAATTCTGATTCATTAAACGATTATTGAGTAAGCTCGATGATTTTTTAACATTGCTTAGAATTATAACCTCTCTCCCCGAGAACAAAGGCCAGTTATAGTGTCACACGGTGTGAAATGGCGTTGGAGATATGCTGTACAAAATGCGTTTAGCTTTTCATTAGTTGCGCATAACGTGATAATTCATATTGGCTCAAAGGCTTCTTAACCAATAAACCCTAACTGATCATATCACACCACCGCCTTTTACACTTTAACTAGCACACGTGTCCCTCAGTTGTAAACTTCCAAAAAGGCGAAGGAATTTGAGCCGTCCATTCACGATTTTGAAGCTCTCATATCATATGGAGCACGTGCCTGACTGGAGTTTAATATAAAAGCCTATTATTTACTTTTAATTAATTAGTTCTAATTAACTGAACACCAACCTTTCTCAACCGCTTTTGAGATCTGTCTTTTACCCAAAAAGAGGAGGCTAAACCTGTCATTTGAGAACAATCCAATGTATTTAATCCTTGATAGCTTGTGAAAGAAGCAAAGCAATCTTAAGCCATCAATTCACCGGATGTCAACACAATGGCACTTTAGATAAGAGAAGTAGGGGGCATTGAAGAGGGGACTAAGACTCTAGGGATCCCTATCAATTTTTCAAAATGCCTATTCATCGTTATCTTTTTAACATGTGTGTTCACCTCAAAATATATTTTTTTAAAAATTGTTATTGTTGTTTTTATTTTTATTTTTGGTATTTAAGGTCTAGTGAAGAGGAACTAGCCATGAATCTTTAGGGCAAGGGTTAAACCCAATCTTAAATTGACATGCCATAGGCTAGGGTTTAAAAGTTCAAAACTGAAGGAGCCGCTTGACTTTATAAATCCACGATTAAAATACTTTTTAAATCCACGATTAAAATACTATAGAGAAAATGAAATACCATTGTAATCTGTCTTCCTCGGCTTCACACCCATGTCGACTATTCAACTGAGCTCTCGTTGGATGCTAAGCCACCAGAACCAAAAGAACATGCGAAAAGGAGACCCCTCTTTGCTCCTCCCACCCTTCTATCTCTCTCATTTAACCACCCCTCCATGCCAAGGCTGGCAATGGGTATCGCAGCCCGGCTAGGCCCGGATCTAAAAAACTAGTGCATAGGACACAAATTGTAGCCTAAGCCCAGTTTGGTCTGCCCGGTCCTGCCCTATAAGAATAAGGGATGGGTCAGGCCCCCAACCTGGCCGTTGCCAGCCCTAGGAAAGCATGGAAGGTTGTAATCTTGGCAATGGGTATCGCACCCCTGCTAGGCCCGGATCTAAAAAAAACTAGTACATTGGACACAAATTGCACCCTAAGCCGAGTTTGGCCTGCCCGATCCTTCCCTGTAGGCCAGCCCTATAAGAACAAGGGCTGGTTCAGGCCCCGAACCTGGCCTTTGCCAGTGCAATCCGTGAGCAGGAAAGTATCGAAGGTTGAGATTACAACGACATTAATGATGGTTAAAAGGAAAACAGGACAAAGCGGTTAATTCTCGAGACTCCGCTTGTGTATTCTCGAAACTTTACTGTACTTCCCTTGGATATATCAGTAATTCTCATATTCAAATGGATGTGCATCACGTCTTGAGGGTATGTCGGTAATTAATGCTATGTTACTATGTATTGGTACTTCACTCTAGGGGGAAAGTACGATGACTTCGAGTAAAGAATGATGTTCTTTCTCTCCATCTCTTCCTCATGAATCCAAAAACACAACAAATCTTATTTTATTTCAGAACTTTAAAAATAATATATTTTTTTTAAAAAAATTATCTTATTGAAATATAGATGATAGATGAATTGTTTGAATATTTTTTATATCTTTTTTTGAATTTCTGAATACCATTAAAATACAGTGACCATGAGGTGAAACAGTTGAAAGGGGTAAATTACTAAATTGTTGAAAAATTAGATATCTATTAATAATATTTTATTTATATATTAATTAAACAAATATATATTGTATTTTAATTTTAGTTTTTTTTCCTTTCCATCATATTAACCTTGATTTTGAGGCCTTTATATTTCTCACCATTGCATTCTTGCAAAAATATAAAAAAGTACTTTTTAAAATAAGAGCTGAAAGAAACCATAGGCACGGGATACCCATTTAGTTGTTGCTTTCGATTGACTTATTCTTTATATTTTTTTTATAAGTACATGATGTCGAGAAGTATAGACACTCGAAATTTAAATCAAGTCCAATGAATAGAAAAGCTAAAATTAAAAGACTCAAGCATAAAATATCAACTACAAAGAACTACATAGAAATGCCGATAACTGAATGGAACTTTTTATAAATTTCTAAGATAAACGGTATTAAATGCCCCCGTTTAATAATAAGTATAAAACTTTTAATTTAGATAAACGAATGAGAAATGATTCTATAGGATTCTCTCCAACCTATATAAGTAAGATTCAAAAGATCACCATTAAATATGACACGGTTCTATAGAAAAGTCAAATCTCACATTTGTGTAATAATTTTTTAAAAATCTGTACCAATTTTAATGATGATCCGTTAGGATCCTACACACGTAAGTGGGAGGGCCCTATAGGATATCTATTTTCTTGGTTTACCTTTGTTTTTTAGTTTTACTACGAGGCTATAAAGCATAAATTAACGCCAAAGGTGAGGACAAATATAGCCAAATTTCCTGTCGTTTTACTAAAGCATGGGTAAATCCGTCTTTGACTAAGATATTACAAGTAAAAAAGAGGTTTTAATTCTCTCTAACCTCGTGCGGTCTTCTTAACCTGTCACCGCTCAGCCTTCAAAAAGACTTAAATACCCCACCATCAGACACCATTCCATTGGACAGACTGTGTAAGTGCTTAAAACCCAACAAGTTCCCATTTGATAGCTGGATTAAACTAAATCGGGATAGCATACATAAGTCCTAGGCTGGTTCTGCTATAAAACCTTATTTTATATATATATATATTTATGTTTATTTCATATTTGGGGCTAGATCCTCACCCTAGAAGTATCCCATTGTAATTTTTATTTTATTTAATATTTTTGAATTACCAATCGATCCAAACCTAATCTAAATTGTCAATCTAGCAATCCAATCGTGATTTATGGCTTAACGATCTGTCCCACCCAATAATTTTAAAAATGGATCATTGACCAGGATCAAATATTGTAAAAACCAATCCAAATTGCCATTTTATCGTGTGGAGAAAAGAGCGAACCGGTGAAAAAGCAAGTGCAAAAACAATGAACCGATAAAAAAACGGTTGGGATCGGTGAATCGATATTTTGCTGTAGCAAAACGATGTTTTTATTGTAGAAAAACACCATTTTACAGTAGCAAATTACCGGTTCTCTTTCAAACCCAGACGATTTCTTATATATTAATTGAATCGACATGGTGTGATTGATTTTTGAGTTGGACCGATCGATTCCGAACGAACCCGACATTTTTTAAATCACTGGTTTTACCGATTGAAACACTCACAGGTCGACGATAATGCAGGGCAAAAGCGTCACTTGGTCGGGTTTCGGGGGGTAAAATTGTCCGAGAGTTTGGTGTTCTGTTGAGTCTCGGCCAAGCTAGCCCCTAGCGGTCGTGGTTTTCGGTTCTTGCCGGTTAACGGTGACGGAAAGGGCTGTACACCGGTGGGGTCCACGGCCCCAAGGGATAAAGGCCGCTTCCTCAAAGCGCAAAAGCTCCGGCTTTGGGCGTGGTTTTTTTTTTTTCTCTTTCTTCGTAGAGGCGGAGAAGACTCAGGAGCGAGAGACTTTCTCCCACCCTCTCCCTCTCTCTCTAAAAAAAATTCTCCTTCTCTCTCAAGAATCCTATCTCATTTTTCTCTCCTCTTTCTCTCTCAACCATCAAGGGACTGAAAAAAGACCAGTAAGTTTCTCTCTCGCTCTGTTTTAACTATCTCTTGGAGCATTTATTTTCTTGAGATCTCTCTCCCTCTCTGTTTCAGTCGCTATTGTTTTTTTGATGATTCTCGCATGAAATCTTCAATGGAGTTGCAAAATCGCGCCTAATTTTTGAAAGTCCCATGCCCTAGATTATCTTCGTTCACTCTGTTTGTCTCTTTAAATCTCCATTTTGTTGTATAAATACTGAGGATTAAGTATTGTGTCTGGCTCTGGCTATGGATCTTGGGGCCCTGATCATTGGGCGATTCTCTGTGTATTTTTAGGTTTTTTTTTTTTTTGGTTCGATAAGGATTGGATTGGTTTTTTCCTGTACTGTTTATGGTTTTGGTTCGCTGTTCATCTTTACCGGATCGATTGATTTCTGTGGTGAATCAGAAGCTTGGTTCATGTGACGTTGCAGAGGATTGAGTTGGATCAGTGTCAAGATTGGGAGATCTGCCTTTGATTGGAAGCTCTGGTTTGATATTTCGAAGAATTAGGGTTTTTTCTGGGGAAGGTGGTGAGTCTATGACTCGTGTAGTTGGGGTTTCCATTTCCTGTGTTTGAGAGATTGTCAACTTTTGTTCTGGATATAGGTTCTTCGTGGGTATCTCTTAAGATAGATTGCTCCTCAGTTGTTCTTCATACTGCCTTTTAGAGAGAGAGATTTGGAGTCATGTTAGAGGGTCAGTCCTGCTTAGTTTCTAGGGTTTTGCCAGGATCTTGTGAGCAAGAGTCCAAGTGGTATTACATGTACCCAATCGAGGTCCAAAAGGGCAACAAGCGTTCTCTCTCTATGGAGGAGTCTAATGGAACAAACAAGAGATCAAACAGTAGCAACTTGTCTCCACGTAAAATCCCTAGAGAGAGAAACTCTCTTTTTGATGAGACCCCAAGCGATCAGGATGATCATCAGGGCCAAGGGGAAGACTCAAATTACCGGGGCTTAGGTCGAGACATGGTGATCGATTGCTTTATCCGGTGCTCTCGATCCGACTATGGCTCAATCGCCTTGCTTAATAGGGCCTTTCGCTTGCTGGTGCAAAGTGGTAAGCTTTACCAGCTGAGACGAAAGATGGGTGTCATGGAGCACTGGATCTACTTCTCTTGTAGCTTAGCAGAATGGGAAGCGTATGACCCAAATAGCACAAGGTGGATGCATCTCCCTCCTATGCCATCTAATGAATGTTTTAAGCTCTCTGATAAGGAATCTTTAGCAGTGGGCACTGAGCTTCTAGTTTTTGGCAAAGACATACTCTCCTTCACAACGTGGAGGTATAGTATATTGAGAAATAATTGGACCCCAGCTGTTCCAATGGAGTCCCCAAGGTGTCTATTTGGCTCAGCAAGCCAAGGCGTGATAGCCATTGTTGCAGGGGGTTGTGATATTCAAGGTAAGATCTTGGATTCAGCTGAGCTTTACAATTCAGAGAATGGGTCATGGGAAACTTTACCCAAGATGAATTCTCCAAGGAAAATGTGCAGTGGATTTTTCATGGATGATAAATTCTATGTAATTGGGGGTAGAAAGGTTCAAGGAGAGAATCAAGTGGCTCATTCTAGTGCAAACCCCCAAGCTCAACAGCATCTCACTTCAGGTGAAGAGTTCAATTTAGAGACTAGAACATGGAGGACTATACCCAATATGTTTCCAAGAAGAGGTGAATTCGCCCATGCTCCACCCCTTGTTGCAGTGGTCCACAATGAGCTTTATGCGGCAGACCATGAAGCGAATGAGGTTATGAAATATGATAAGGAGAATAATACTTGGAGTGTCTTGGGGAAATTGCCTGAAAGGGCAGCCTCAGTTAATGGTTGGGGTTTGGCTTTCAAGGCCTGTGGTGGTCAAGTAATTGTTATTGGGGGTTATAAGGGAACAGCAGGTGGGACTGTAGAACTATATTCTTGGGTTCCAAAAGAGGGGCCTCCGACTTGGAGATTGCTTGCAAGTAAGCAGCTTAATGCCGGGACCTTTGTTTATAACTGTGCAGTGATGGGTTGCTGAGCTCTCTCTTTCAAAGGTTCGATAATGGGTGGTAAAGCCTCGAGGCTTGCATGAGGGATTTGAAGCTGCTCTGGAATTGGATGTACAGAGCAAAAGGGGTGTAGAGTCTGAGGAGAATGGGTAACCTCTTTTTTTCTTTCTTTTTTTTTTTTTTGGAATTTTCCCATTTGGGGTGCTCAAGATTTGATGGAATGTTTTTTTCTTCTGAGGAAATCTTGAGCCAAAAGGTTTCTTTCTTGGGATGTAAGTTGTGAACATAAAGAATTTCTACTGGGCCTTGTGTTTGGCTTTGTTTATTCGGTGCATTACAGGATAGTAGATTAGAAATGCCTGAATGCTTCTTAGTACATCAATAAGATTTTTTGGGGTATGGATCTATGGGTTGCTTTCAGTATGTTTTGCTCTCATTGTACTCAACTGCACCAATTGTTTTGGATGGCATATGTGCACTCAGTGTTACTTTTTTATGTTATATTTAAACTGTGACTCTCTGTTGAAGATTATCATTTTTTGCACTTTCTTTGTGACATTTTTTACGGAAAGCATATTTGCCCCTTACTAAATTTTGTTTCAAATGGGAACTATGATAATGCAGATCTGATTGCAATCAGATAAAAAAATATCCCAAATCAAGGAAGCTCCTATGTCTATAGCTAGTATTCGTCTGGTCGATAGTTAGTAGAAATGCTATATTATGATTCACATTATGAGTAGCTAACTGCCCAGAGAGTAAAGGAATTTGCACCAAAATTGTGCAGGCATCTGGGCTCCTGAGATACCCAAAAATTCCCCGTGTAACTTAAGATTTATGATGAGTACTTTTGCAACATGCATATTCTGTATGGTCTTGAAAGCATGGAGCTGTGGCATGTTGATCGTCTGTATAATTGTATTGCTTTGGCGGATTTATTCCTATAAGATATATAAAAGGAGAGAACTGGATTTAATATCATGCCGGATTGTTATGATTGGAATCAAATCTGTTTTTGGAATCATAAGTTTAGGTTGGTAATTCTGATGATTTGGCCCTAGTTTTAACTTCTGCAACTGGTCTTGGGTTTTTAGGACGGAAGCTATCTAGTAAGAATTACTAGAAACTTAGAGTTGAAAATGTTAGGAGTAATTATTGAGTATTGCTTGAATCTTGTGTTATCACCTTTAAATCTATCATTAAACTCTTGTCAACGATGTCGGTGGCGAAAGGAAACAGATAACGTAAATTTCATTGAACGAACTGAAGTAGTTGTGGGTTACAGGCAAGTGTAAAACAATAAGAGAGGCCAATTTTTAGGAAACACCGAACTCCTCTTCGGCAGAAAGCCATGTTTTATTGATTCAGAAGTTTTGAATCGCGGGAAGGGTCCATAGATGATAGTAAAAGATGAGTAAAATCCTCAGTTATCACCTGCTTTTTCTACCCTAACAACAATGATCACAGAGACCCATGTCATGAATTTGATATGGGAGTTACTTTTATGATTTCATAAACCCCATAAGTCATAGAAATGAAATTACAGTTCTATATAACAAATTTACTGGAGTTAAATCCTGAGTGTTTAATCATATGCTTCTTCTAATCTTAAACAGCTAGGAATTTCAGGGTATTAAAGTTAGATGGATCCATATCATGAAATTTTACCTTGAAGTTTCTCTTTGGGCCCCTATAAGAACCTGTGCTTTAATTGGAGTTTATTTTTGGGCCTCTTTAGAGCCTCTAAGTCTATGTTGCCAACTGTGTTGACTCTTGGCCGGTGCCTGCACGTTTAATATGGCTTTCTGAGTGGGTTGGAAGACCGATTTAGATATAGAGCACTATTTTAAAACACGGTTTGGCCCGTCACTTTTTACTTAATTTTCTTTGTTGATGTGATCAAGGATTAAGTCAAGCAAGGCGTGCCACTTGGTGTCAACTTAGGCTGTCTTTTTGCCCTGAAATCCGCCTTTAGTTTCCATAAGATTGGCTTATCTACTGTGTTTTCCCATGGATTTGTCTTTCCCAACTTGTCATTGTCTGATCTAATTGTTAAAGTATAACTTAATAGCTTTATATTCTGTAACTAGGTGGGTCAAACCAAGAAGGTGGGTCGTATTGGTTTTATCTTATCAATTTATAATTGACTTCTACAGTGTAGCCCAAGGTCCTTTTCAGGGGCAAGCTGGCTGGATATATGTGTATTTTGACAGCTATCTCATTTGTCATAAGTTTGCAATAAGATAAAATCTTTCATAAGTCTGCCGGCACTTGCATCTGCCCTGGTTTTCAAGGGTTTGAGGGTCCAGTTCCCATCCCTAATATCTGCAGATCCATTTATGTGAATTTGGAGTTCCGAAAATAGTGCAGATTCGATGATTTGAAAATTAAAATAAACGGGCCATGAAAGCGGGTACAAAATGAATTTTGTGTGGACCCACCCCTCAATGTTGCTTTTGTTTCTTTCTTTTCCCTCCTGATTCATGATGGATGAAGCTTCTCTCTACAATAGGTCCGTCCCAGGACGAGCTTGAACCCTACCTTCTAGAAAATCTATATCACTAATTGTTTTTTAAATTGATCTCATTTAAGGGAAAAAATCTTCATAACTGTGAGGATTACGTATTCATTGTAGTGCATCAGTGTGGTGGTTGAATTTGGAATCTCCACTTCTAGTGATCGTCTTTTTGTCTTAGGGAAAGTGGAATTAGTGGATTATTTTTTAATGAAATCGATTCCTTTTCGTGATATACTATACCTCCGCTTGGCTTTAGTCTTTACCCACAATAATGATGAAGCTTACAGTTTGGTGGTTGGATTTAGCTAATTTTGGCACGAGTGCATCTTATTGTTTCTCGAGAAATGTGGTTTGCATTTTATCTATCGATCTGAATTTTTTGAGCTATTAGAGAGCGAGATTTTTTTGGAGGAGAAATTACTATGCTTCTTGGCAAACCATATAAGGCGATGGAAGTTGACGGCATTAGAGCTTGGTAAATTTACTAATTTGTCATTTAGTTTTCAATATGAATATTGGAAGATAATCAACCGTGAGTTTTTTGCTTATGCATTATTGAGCGAGATCTGAATCATCATTCATGTTTTCAAAAACACTTACTCCACCGAGAAGTATGATATTTTGCCTACTAAAAATTTGCTAGTCGACTCTGAATCCCCCTGGTAAAGCTCAGAATAGAGGGCCTGATTTATCCGATTATCTAGAATCGGGCCTTTCAAATGTTTACCAAAAGGTTCTCGAGTCCTGCAAGTGATTTTTTGTTTTCTCAAAAGGCGATTCCTAAGGCCCTGAATCGGTGAGTCTACTCGGGGATTCACAATCCGACCGAGGAATCGTTGGGACTGCCCGTGCCTATTAAATTACCATTCTAATTTTATGAAGAATGCGAAATTTCAACCTCGTTATTTGTCCAAATTTTCGGTCATTTTAGCCGAAACATCCTAATAAACGTTCAAGATTTCGGTTTCGCTCGGTTGTTAAGTGCCATTAACTTTATCCATTTAACGGGACTTATTAATGTGGGTGCATCACGCGTGACCTCAGCCGTCTGATTTCTTATCAGCTTAAAACCTGGCGTTCATTCCATTAATTACTCATTAAATTTACCAACGTCAATTATGGCGTTCAATGCCCCAGTCAAGAGTTTTGACAGATTCCCAAATCAGTTATACGGACGAATCTGATTACTAGCATTTGCAGCGTGTGAGAAATAAATAGTAACATTGGAGTTATAGCTCGTATGAATGAAAGTAAAGTAATATCGGTTTACTTGAATTTTTAAATAAATGTGGTTCGTCTGAGTACGAGCTGGTTCGTTGAGGGAACAGGCCAGCTCCTGATGGGAATGAAATGGTCCATTGATTTTTGTTTCGAATCCAAATCAACATTTTTTAAAACCTTGATCCGGCAATGTTGTTTTATTATTTTAGATTGTGAATATTCAAAGTTAAGCCTTGATGTGTCCCTTTTCTCTATTTTATCTTGTAAAATCGTCACTATTTTGGATTTTCAAATTTCGAAATCATATTTTGAATTTAAATTTTTATTTTTTTGACAAAATTTCAAGGCTTTATTGATAATTTAGGATCTCGAATGTCAAAAGTCACATTGATTTTGTAATTAGGACTTGACTTCATATATTAAAGATTCAAAGTCGAATGAGACTTCAGATCAAGATCTGAAGTCATAACATGTATTTGTTACTTGAGAACTTTCAAGTCTTGAATATCCAAAATGGTGGTAAATTAAGAAGAGAAGTGATCCTATCGGACCCTCCCCCACTTATGTGTGTAGGACCCTAAAGGATCGCCATTAAATTTGATATGGATCTATAGAAAAGTCAAATCCTACACCCATGTGATAATTTTTTTAAAGATCCGCACCAATTTTAATGGTGATCTTTTGGAGTCCTATACACATGGGTAGAAAATGGTCTTATAGGATCATTACTCAGTTGAGAATAAAGAATAAGAAATGAAGATACACACATGGGTGGGGAAGGGTCTTATAGGATCATTACTCAATTGAAAATAAAGAATAAGAAATGAAAAAAAAAAAATGCTGCTTAAATAGAAGTTTTTTTTTTTTTTGTAACTTATTCTTTTTCATTTTTAGTTGAATCACCGACTTGGCCGATCTCCATCTGGAGGGCCGATCCACTCGTAGATACATTTTTTAAACACTAATACTAGCAAACATGCATTAAAAAGCCACAAGATTAAAGGCGAAATATTTAATTGCATTCACAATTTTCATTTAGGGATTGATGCCCTATCATATATATTGACTATTGATGGTTCATCATGATGCGGTTAGCATGGGATAAGAAAATCCAATTTTTATCATAACATGTAATTTTGGCATGAATAGTTTTTAAGATTATCTGAAAGTCTATTTTTATATCTAATTATAAAATTTTAAACTTCAAAAATAGTTAAAATCCAATAGATCTATAAACATATGAAAATCTTGAAAATAGGTGGTCTAGATAATGTGTTGTAAGATGCACTATTTATGGGATTCAAAATATATATATTTTATATATATATATTCATACATCTCGATGTCGAAATGCTCCAGGGGTTTCCAACATTAAAACAACCTTTTCCGATGGATTTTTGAGGTGCATCTTTCACTCTACATTTTGATATTGCAACATTACATAATTTTTTTTCTTTCTTATATTCAACAATCTCACTTGTCTTTTAAAGCAGAAAACATGTAAAACGTTATAAGAAGTGCAAAATAGATAGTACTTGGTCATTTGCGGGACATAGATAAGAGGTGGAAATTTATTCCAAATTAAAGCTGAAAAGATTCACTACTGATATTAGTTTTGTAATTGATGAAAAAAATGATGAAGGCCCTATCCTCAGTATCTTTATCTACTATTTATTGGC